AGATGTCATTAAATAAAATTAATAATAAATAATGAAAAATAAAATGTAATTGAATTCAAATCAATTTACAAATTAAATAGAAATACAACTAAAATATATTCTTTAAAAATATAAATTAAAATATTATACTTCTGTTATGTTGATTCTGCATTAAATCACTGTCAGTTAACAGCCTTTTAGTGAACATTCATTCATGTCATGCAGCGTATACTGTGACATATCAAAATTGAATCATTCCCATTATAATAAATGAAGTTGACTATACTGCACAGATGCTACAGTCGTTTTATTTTCCTCGTCTGCCTAAAATAAAATGATTTTTTTTCTACAAATATAATTTGATCATTACTTGTGATCAATGACAACTTCTGACTTTTGAACAAGTTTTAAACAGTATTGTAGCTTTACTCTTTAGCCACTGTACACTACCGTTTAAAAGTTTAGGGTCAGTTTTTTCTTTTTTATTATTAATCGATTTCGCCAAATACAAACAAAACAAAACAATTCAATAGTGTAAATATTCAAATGTTTAATGTCTTCACTGTTGCTTAAGTTTAGCTCACAGCTGATTAGTACTGAACATTGTTGACATGCAGCTTCAACACTTCCAGTGTAGACAAAATGTAATAAATGACTTAAAGGTGTGAGTGGGCACACAGACACACACATACAGGCAAACACACACTCCCATAAATAAAACTGATTCCATTCTCGGAGCAGAGTTAAGCTGTCCCTTTTCCCATGTCACCATCCCCTCTCCCCTCCTTCCCATCTCCGTCTCCCCGTCAGCCTTTGTTTTTTTTTAGCTTTCTTGCTCTGTCTGTGGACAAATTATGGTGATTATCATTTAGTTTCTCAAACTCCCCATCTTCTTTTGCTATCTTTGCTTTTTCCGACTTACCTCAATCTCCTCGTTTCCCCTCTCCTTCTCTTTTGTACTTTCGCTCTTCATCTGTAACCAGCAGACACTCAGGGGAAATACATTAGTAATATTTATGATGAACCCTTCTCAGTATCGTTTCTTCCTATCTCGTCGCCTCATAAAAAAGACACTGATCTTAACAGGCGTACCTATGTAGTCATCTGTCAAACAATCTACCCAGCCATCCATCACGTGCACAGTGCACTGCTCTGCTCGGATGCCCAACACAGCAGCCAAGGCTGTTAAAACTACATAAACCAGTTCAACTCCCCCTGCACCCGAGTCTGCATCTATTATACCGAGGGATGCATCAGCTTCGGCGCTCCCCGCAACATTCTTCAAACGTAATTGCAATGGTCAAAACAGCTCCCAAAACGCCTGCAATTTGTCTGCTTTTATCTGAAGCGAACTCCCGGAGAGATTTCTAAATCGGCTTCCAAATATGAGGAGACTTACCCAACCTTGCCTAGTGAACCTGAACATCTACCTGGGTGAGACTTTGATATATTTTCCCCACACATCTTCAGATAATCTCACCCCAGTAAAAAAACAAAAAACACATGAGAATGTGAAGGGCAGAGCTGTCGCTGGGAGAGAAAGGGCCCTGCTTTGACCGTACTAATAAAGGGCTGGTATGTAATTGAGCAGAACTAGAGGGAGGCTGCGTTTGATAGTGTTAACACTACACAGGAACAGTTAAACAGCTGACGGTGAGCATTAGATATAGCTCTTTCTTATAACTAGCTCTGTATTATAACTTCATCTCTCCTGTCTCCCATTCTTGGAAATAGCTGTTTTTTATGCACCAACCAGGTTGTATACACGATCAATTCTCGAACCCATTTAGGGTGTTTAAACAAAATAATATAAGCCAAATGTTTTGGGAGTTCGCCACTCTTGTTGATGGAAACAGTAGGGAGGGGCGGGAAAATGGAACAGTGATAAGATTCAAACTGTGTCCACTACACAAGCACTAACGTCTAGGCCATTCTATTATGCATTTAAATTTACTATGGTAACCACAGTATCCTTAAAAATACCAAAGAATTATAAGATCGTGTGGGTTGTACTTGAAAGAGTATGTGATTAACTTCTGTTTTTGATAATATTAACCTACCAACCCAATCTCATGAGAAGCTGTGGGAATTCACACAAAGATTCGGAAGAATTCACACACACATGTTTACTTGGCTATCTAAATGGGGACATTACATAGACTTCTATTGTTTTTATATACAGATATTTATACACTTTTTAACCTAAATCCACCCCTACCCCTACCCCGCAGAAAACTTTCTGCATTTTTACAATTTCAAAAAAAAACTTATTTTTATACCAGTTTTACAAATGAGTATGTCCCAAATGGAGGTTTTTGGCAATTTTGTCAGGTTTTGCTCACTTTTTGGTACAAATTTGTCCCCAAAATATAGTTAAGTAGGTACACACACACACACACAGACAGACAAATAATGCAAACTTAACCCAAACTTTAATCCTAATTGTAATAATAAAAAAAAACTATAAAAACTCTAAAGAAGATCCATGTCATAAGATTTCACCATCTCTATAAATTATTAAGGGTTTTCATGAAAGTGTGATATGATTTGTCATCAGTTTCCTCTGGAATTTTTAATGTGTTTTTAGAATAGCACTTTATCGGCAGTATTTTCAGCAGTCATTACTTCAGTCTTCATGTCACATGATCCTAAAAATCATTCTAAAATGCTGATTTGGTGCTCAATTTTTTTTTTTAAATATGCATGCCTTTGTGTAATTTATGTCGTAGAACAAAAAGTGAAAGTTAGTTTAGACCTTATTTCACAAACCAAAATTTATTATTCAAAAAACTCCTGTGGGAACCCATGGATTAAAAAAAAAAAAAAACATGGGATGGTTCTACATGGGATGTACTTCAAAAAGTGTTTTTTAATGAAAGAGATGGCTTTTATTGTACAAACCATGGTAATTTAACTATGGTAAACTTCTGTAATGGATCTGCATAGACATTATGTGGAAAGTTACTCACTTTGTACGAAGTGAGGAGGATTGTCATTGACATCCGTCAATCGTACAGTAACTGATGTCGTTCCTGACAAACCGCCAAGATGGCCACCCATGTCTTTAGCTAGCAGGACCACTAGATACTGATCCTGCACTTCTCTATCTAGATCTGGAACTGCAGTACGCAGGATGCCTGAGGGAGAAAGATTTTTAAAGTTTGGTCACTGAATTGTTATTATATGGCAAGAGCTGCACGAAGATTCTTCAACACATTCAATTGTGTTTTCTACTGAAAATATAACAGCATACAGGTTTGAAATGACAAGAAGATGATTAAATGATGACAGAATTTAACCATCCCTTGAACAGTTCACAAACATGTGGTGGCGTCCCACTTTGAAGCATTTTTCTTTTTTCACAGCCCTCAGAAGTGTGATTTGAGTTAGTGTTTGCAGCATTTGTTAGAAGTGCAGCAGCTCAAGTGGTATGAATATATTTCTGCCAAGTCAGTCTGGATTAAAGAGCGTTGAGGAGAGGGAGGGAAGAACCAGGAAAATAGGAAGGAGCAAAGAACCAGAGGGATGAAGGGATGACAGAGTACGGGGGAACTTATGGAAATGATTACGGATTTGAAGGGAGAGAACGTGGTGCTAATGGCTGATCAGGGACCGAGACCGGACTAAAGATAGTACATCATGAAACTGAAGGCTCTCTGTTTCACAAAAGCATTTTAATGCATTTTTCACTGACTACACTTGATTCTCACCCAGTTCTTCAGACTTGACCGACAAGGTAAGAATTTCGAGTGATGTTCACCATTTTGTCACCGTGACAAACACTTGAAGTGGTTCTTCAGTTTCTCATAAATGCTTTAGATCTCATCATGTTAGTGCTATCTACAGTATACTATTATTGTGTTGTTATTGTTGTTATTATTCCAGACAAATGCCTTTTGACACTTTAATTGACAGTACATTAGAGACAAAATTAAGGCGAAAAGATGGGGGAATCAGATCAAAACTCACACTGGCCGCATGAGAACCATGGCACGTGTCAAAAACCTGCACTATACAGTTCTGAAAGGATCATTAGTTTATGGTGGTTAGTGCTGGTTGGAAGTGTTCTATGCTTTGCTAAATACAGTTAAATAACATTAACACTGTTTTTGCATAATTTGCCAAATTTACTGGTTGTAACTGAAATGACACACAATAAAATAATTTTGATAATTGATTTTAACAGGTGTTAATTAAACTTAACACATCACATGTCTCAAATTTCATGTCAAGCCTGTTTCTCACTTACACTGTTGTCTCCTTGGTAACCAAGTAAAAAAAATTTAAAACAACCCTAATGGCGGCAGTGTAAAATATGAAAAAATTACAAGTAAAAATTATAAAAAACATTTATAAAAATCATTGTATTATTATGCTTCTTTCATATTATAAATAAAAAACACAATACATCTTTAATATTTTTATAATGGATTTACATGGTTTTAAAGAATTGTTCACCGAAAAACGTCAAATGATTCACTCTCATGCCATTCACCATATTTAATATGAACTATGCACGTGCTGATCAATGTTCATAAAATGAATAAAAGGCTAAATTAAACCTGTTCATCATATAAAGCAATCATGTCTCGTCAGAACACCTGGATTACTGCATTTTCCAGAAAATAAGTTGCACCTGATCAAATGCATCGTTGAGAGAGAGAGAGAGAAAGAGAAAAAAAAAAACATACATGCACAAATAAAATAACAGTAAATAAAACAAAATGTTTACAAATATCAAACATTATAAAAATGTATTTTGTTCCCCTCATAAATCCTATAAATTTAATATTATTCAGAACAGGAATGAAAAATATAAGTATAAAAAAAACAAATTATAGTTGCATTCAATATAAACAACATTTATTGTAAATCCCTAGCCTAAATTTATTTATTTAAAACAAAACTGAAACTACCGGAATGTGGAAAAAGCGCTATACAATTAAACTTGGGCTCATATACCTCTCTTATTCAGCACAGATCCAAATGAGTGTGCTGTGCGCATGTTTTGTGAGCTTGACATTATATACATTTATATAATGCTTTGGAATATAATTCGCAACACATTTCAGTTATTTAAAAAAAATCTGACTTATATCCTGAAAAATATGGTAAACTACTCAACTCATATGGATTATATTTACCGGGTTTTTTATTAACTTTTTGAAGTCTAAAAGTTTTGGGGTAATGAACGTTCAGTGGAGGAACAGAATTCTATCAGGTTTCATAAAAAATATCTTCATTTGTGTTATGAAGATGAATGAAAGGCTTATGGGTTTGGAATGACATGAAAGTGTCAGTCATGAAGTGTCAGTCATGACACTTTCATGTGGGAAGCAGACGTGGATTAATGGTTAGAGAGTCAGACTTGTAACTCAAAGGTCGCAGGTTCGAGTCTCGGGACCGGCAGGGATTGTAGGTGGGGGGAGTGAATGTACAGTGCTCTCTTCCACCTTCAATAGCACGACCCTTGAACAGAATCCCCAACTGGTCCCTGGGTTCTGCAGTGAAAAATGGCTGCCCACTACTCCAGGTGTGTGTTGTGTTTGTTCACTACTTCACTTAAAAGTGAATAACCGATAACATTTAAGTTTTTGAGTGAACTAACCCTTTAAGATAGAAAGCTCGAGTCGGAGATAAACAAATACCACAATAAAAAGCTTTTCAAAAGAATTTTAAAAAGCTCAAATCTATTAGTTTTAATAAAAATCAGCTGCTGGGTCAAGAAAAACCCACCTGTCTGAGCATCCACGGAGAAGTGCGGCTGCCCCTGAACCAGCGTGTACACCAGCCGCGCGCTGTTCCCATATGTGGGATCGTCTGCGTCTGAAGCCGTCACCTGGATGATGGAGGTCCCTGAGGAAGAGTTTCAGGGAGCGAGAGGGCAAAAAAGACAATAAGAGATGATCAATACAGCACATATGAACACAGATCATCACAGGACAAGCACATTACGCAAAGAGACCCATATAAAGACTGACAGATTCTCCCCCTCTCTCCTCTCACTCTCCCTCCTGCTGCAGTGTAACAAATGCAGTATTCACTTTCTCTTCTCCCCAGCCGCACACCTTCTTTCATTCGCGCCTCTGTCTGTCTCACTTCATTTCTCTTCATCTCCTTCTCCAATTCCCCATTTGCTCCCTCTCTCAATCTCTATGCCTGTTTCTGTGGCCACACTCCCCTGTTTCCATAACTCCCTCGCGTCTCAAATCTCTCTTTCGCTCCTGACAGATATGGACTTTTTTCCAACCAAATAAATCAAAGAGCTTCATGCGAAGGACCGAAGCGGTTTGAAAAGAACATATGTACAATGGAAAAATAACTACATTTCCCATAGGGCAATGGCTGACAAGCTCAGAGGGACGAGGGGGGGGGGGGGGGGGGGTTTGGGGGGCTAAATTAAACCTGTTCATCATATAAAGCAATCATGTCTCGTCAGAACACCTGGATTACTGCATTTTCCAGAAAATAAGTTGCACCTGATCAAATGCATCGTTGAGAGAGAGAGAGAGAAAGAGAAAAAAAAAAACATACATGCACAAATAAAATAACAGTAAATAAAACAAAATGTTTACAAATATCAAACATTATAAAAATGTATTTTGTTCCCCTCATAAATCCTATAAATTTAATATTATTCAGAACAGGAATGAAAAATATAAGTATAAAAAAAACAAATTATAGTTGCATTCAATATAAACAACATTTATTGTAAATCCCTAGCCTAAATTTATTTATTTAAAACAAAACTGAAACTACCGGAATGTGGAAAAAGCGCTATACAATTAAACTTGGGCTCATATACCTCTCTTATTCAGCACAGATCCAAATGAGTGTGCTGTGCGCATGTTTTGTGAGCTTGACATTATATACATTTATATAATGCTTTGGAATATAATTCGCAACACATTTCAGTTATTTAAAAAAAATCTGACTTATATCCTGAAAAATATGGTAAACTACTCAACTCATATGGATTATATTTACCGGGTTTTTTATTAACTTTTTGAAGTCTAAAAGTTTTGGGGTAATGAACGTTCAGTGGAGGAACAGAATTCTATCAGGTTTCATAAAAAATATCTTCATTTGTGTTATGAAGATGAATGAAAGGCTTATGGGTTTGGAATGACATGAAAGTGTCAGTCATGAAGTGTCAGTCATGACACTTTCATGTGGGAAGCAGACGTGGATTAATGGTTAGAGAGTCAGACTTGTAACTCAAAGGTCGCAGGTTCGAGTCTCGGGACCGGCAGGGATTGTAGGGGGGGGGAGTGAATGTACAGTGCTCTCTTCCACCTTCAATAGCACGACCCTTGAACAGAATCCCCAACTGGTCCCTGGGTTCTGCAGTGAAAAATGGCTGCCCACTACTCCAGGTGTGTGTTGTGTTTGTTCACTACTTCACTTAAAAGTGAATAACCGATAACATTTAAGTTTTTGAGTGAACTAACCCTTTAAGATAGAAAGCTCGAGTCGGAGATAAACAAATACCACAATAAAAAGCTTTTCAAACGAATTTTAAAAAGCTCAAATCTATTAGTTTTAATAAAAATCAGCTGCTGGGTCAAGAAAAACCCACCTGTCTGAGCATCCACGGAGAAGTGCGGCTGCCCCTGAACCAGCGTGTACACCAGCCGCGCGCTGTTCCCATATGTGGGATCGTCTGCGTCTGAAGCCGTCACCTGGATGATGGAGGTCCCTGAGGAAGAGTTTCAGGGAGCGAGAGGGCAAAAAAGACAATAAGAGATGATCAATACAGCACATATGAACACAGATCATCACAGGACAAGCACATTACGCAAAGAGACCCATATAAAGACTGACAGATTCTCCCCCTCTCTCCTCTCACTCTCCCTCCTGCTGCAGTGTAACAAATGCAGTATTCACTTTCTCTTCTCCCCAGCCGCACACCTTCTTTCATTCGCGCCTCTGTCTGTCTCACTTCATTTCTCTTCATCTCCTTCTCCAATTCCCCATTTGCTCCCTCTCTCAATCTCTATGCCTGTTTCTGTGGCCACACTCCCCTGTTTCCATAACTCCCTCGCGTCTCAAATCTCTCTTTCGCTCCTGACAGATATGGACTTTTTTCCAACCAAATAAATCAAAGAGCTTCATGCGAAGGACCGAAGCGGTTTGAAAAGAACATATGTACAATGGAAAAATAACTACATTTCCCATAGGGCAATGGCTGACAAGCTCAGAGGGACGAGGGGGGGGGGGGTTTGTAG